TATATATATATATATATAAAGTCGAATCAGTGGTTATAATAGTCAGTTTTAATGCGTTATTCTACTTAAATTAGATCAAATATATTATTCAAGAGCCACGGTGGCACGGTGACTTCTCAAAAATGTGACCCAGGTTCAAATTCCAGTGATGGTTGAAAGATACGGATTTTGGTCTTGGCTTACATAAGATCTCAGTACTGACATAAAAAATATTCTCAAAGGTAAGACTTCGGACTATTCTTGGGAAGCTTTCATGATTTTCCTCTCTATGTAAGAAAATATGAAATGCGGGTTAGTTTCACCAGAAATTCCTCCACGTAAATTAACTTCTCCCAATGCTTAATCCAAGAACTTCCTTGACTTCTTGGTTGGGTTAAAAATTACAAAGTTATCTAGTTGAACATTGATAGTCGTAAATTTAAAATTGGATTTGCTTTTCAGAGCCGGTTGCAAACAGAAAATAATAAAAAAAGGACTGTCATTTATAATTTAATAACAATGAGATCTGCTTCCCCCCCCCAAAAAAAAAAAACTTTTTCTTCCGAATGTTAATTTTCTTTTCGTAAACCCAAAAATTTATCGGCTTTTCAATACTAACTACAAAATAAAATATTTCATTCAGTCATAATCATGAAATAAAAACCAAATATATTCTCCAGAATTTAATAATTAATTAATTTTTATATTCGGATTTTTATATCTTCAAATCAATCTTCTTATGCTGATATATACATATATCATGTTATTTCATATTTTATAGCAGTCGTTGAACAGCCGACCTAATTTTTCGGTTTAAGACTACTAAATGTTCAACTCCGTAGCCTTGTAATTTTGAACCCAATCCAGAAGACAAGGGAACTCATGGATAAAGTTTTAAGAAAAATTTGCCTTCGTAGAGGGCTTTTTGAAGGAACTAACCCAAATTTGCGTTACATTGAGAGGAAAACTACAAATCTCCCACTGTTAGCCCGACGTCAAGGAGACTTTAGCACATGATCCGTCTACCACTGAGGATATTTTACGTCAGTACTGTGGGCAGTGCTAGCCGGATACGGAATTCGTATCGACCAGACATCGCTGGGAATCGAATCAGTTTCATTGGAAGGCGAACACTCTATCCCCTGAGCCACAACGGCTGTTACGTATATCATTTGTGAACTTTTTGCTTAGCAACTTTTTTTTTTACATAAAATCACATAAAAATAATTTTTATCAACGAAATATCTTTCCCGCTGTTTTCAATCACTTTTTACAAGTTATAGTTGGCTTATTTTTTCACTATGATTAAATGTTTTAATTTATTCTTAAAATTATGACCGTATTTAAGGTGTTCTGTAATCACTGTTCTAAATAAATGTTTTATGATTAAAAATGAAGTAAAGTAATTGCTCATTTGTGCGGAAGGTATCAGTATCTAAGGAGAAATTATCGAGGAAGAAGGAAATTAAGAAACCTAGCTCTCATTGTGATGTTTTAATACCAATTATAGACGTTCCTTATTAATTTACGTTGCATTTTACAATCACACTAGCTTGTTTTGATCAGGAGCGGAAAGAAAACGGCAATTGACTGTTTCCCACGATTATAGCCAAGATTTAAACAGTCTCGTCTAAAGCACCTTTTTGACAATATTATACGAGATCTAAACTAAAATGATTTCTTGAGTTATTTATGAAATTGATTTTGAGAGTGGTAAAGGAAATTTAAATTGAGATTTATTAATGAAGGTATTTTCGTTTCAAAACATAACCTCATTTTCTACAGCAGGTGTAGTGTTTTACATCTATTCACTTCACAACCATCTCAAAAACGCCTTTCTTTCTTTTTTTTCTTGTAAGGGTTAGTGTAGAAATTTGTAATCTATTGCAAATATTAAAAGATATTAAATAAAATTTGTAAAACTGCAATTTGTTCTATCTGTTAGTTTCTTTAATAATTGAAAATAAAAAGACGAAAACAATAATCTTTTATGTAAAAGACTCTTAACAATCAAATTATTGAATAATATTATTAAACTAGGAGGCTTCGCAGGCCCTCGCCAACCCCAGGAACTGCTTTCGTAGTTCATTTCGGATTGCTTCGCAATCCGATGCTCGCCTTGCTCGCTCATTGGATACGCTCGTAGAAAATTCTAAACCTGTGCATTACAATATTAATTTGAAATTGCAAACAGTTCACATATTTTTCCTAATCACACTATTCTAAATTTCAGTTGTTGAGAAAAGTAACTGCTGTAAGTTTTGTTTTAAAGGCTTTCCCACCAAAGGACTAAAACCATGTGTTGTAAAACAATATGAAATAGTACTGAACGCCGGATGTAAAGCATCGGCTTCTATGAAGATAATTTTGCGAGAATGTTTTTGATAATTTGGTGAGAATTCACCCGATTAGACATATGATGCTCACTACGTGATCTTGCGCGGCGAAGCCTATCCATTAAAACGTATTAGCGTTTTATATAATATAGATTAGCCATATGATGCTCACTACGTGCTCTTGAGCGCCGAATCCTATCAATTAAAAATGAAAACTGTTGCCAACACGAGAAAAGAAATATCATCGGTTTTATTTATACATATATATTAGAGTTTTATATAATATAGATAGATAGATATCAATCTGTGTAAAAACGATATTCATTTTATTCCACTGTAACTTCAAACCCAGCGAGCTTCAAACCTAATGTTTTATAATTGGAGCATGCGATTATAAAACACTAGGTTTGAAGCTCTGTATTATTTTTCAGTTCCGTGTGAATGAAACTTAAGTAGTTCGAAAATATTCTTTTGATTTACGCTTATTTGCATGGACTAGATCGTAGACGTAAGAAAATTATTATAACACACTTAAATTAACATGTATTAAGAAATTTATTCTAATAACAGTGCTAAATATTGATAATAACTTAATTAAACACTTGAGTTGATTGATTCAAACGAATTAATATTTGATATAAGCAAATATTTCTGATTTTTGTAAATTGCAGCTAGTTTACTTATCATGGAATATGTTAAAATCATGATTTATAGATAATATTTATATACATATAAGTATTAACAGACAGCAGATATTAAGAATCAGAAAGAATTTCATAAGTTGAAATCAGACTATCATTATCAACCACAAGCTAAAAAAAACTGCCTTAATTGTGGCATTAAGGAATCAAAATCAATATTTAGATTGATAACAATTAACAACTCATGGTTCTGTAATGGCTATATTTTTTGTACAGGACCAATAGTATGAATCTTAATTATGGTAGTATAATTATAATGCAAGTATTGCTCCTGATTTGTTTGAGTTGTAATAAAATGCTCCTAACGATAAAAAAGAAACTTGCGTCAGGTTTTCGACAGTTTTGTCAGATTTCGACAGTTTATTACAGTCTTTAGCACTTTTTAATGTGTTGTGTCAGAAACCAGTTTTAACGTCAAAAACTTAACTCTGGTTTTGATATATTAATTTTCATCTTTTTCAACGATTCGTCAAAACTTGGAAATGTTTTACTAATAAATATAAAACCTTTTTTAAGGTCTGGTTTCTTAGGACAAGCGCCTTATCTGGGCGTCAGCGTGACGTCAACGTCCCGCTGACGCCAACAAAATACTGGTTTGTTAGTTCAAGGCCTGGTTTCTTAGAACTAGCGCCTTATCTGGGCGTCAGCGGAAAGTTGACGTAGAGCTGACGNTGTAAATGATGAATAGTATGAATCTTAATTATGGTAGTAATTATAATGAAATATTGCTCCTGATTTGTTTGACTTGTAATAAAATGCTTCCTAATGATAAAAAAGAAACTTGCGCAGGTTTTCGATAGTTTTGTCAGATTTCAACAGTTTATTACAGTCTTTAACACTTTTTAGTGTTGTGTCAAAAACCAGTTTTAACGTCAAAAATTTCACTTTTCATCTTTTTCAACGATTCGTGAAAACTAGGAAATATTTTATTTATAAATATAAAACTTTCTTAGAGTTTCGTAACTGGCACATCTTTTTGAACTTTATTTTACACCAAAATGTTAAAAATATTCAATCGCGTTGCATGCAGACACTCAGTTTATATGGCAATGGGGTTCCTACAAGTGACGTAGTGTGTGTATCTTGATCCTGAGTGGTTGTTGGAATGTAGCATTTGTTTACGTTTGGAACTGTTCTTTCCATTCTATTTCGATTAATCCAAGCTCGTCAAGTATCAATTCTCTTAAGTAAGTAAGCTATTCTCTTAAGTGACACATTCTATATTCTTTCATGAAGATTCTTTCGCAAATATTTTAATTCTTTCACTATGTATAATTCTTACTTAAATTAAAATATATTCTTATAGAAAGCCATCTAGAACATAAACATACTAATTATGCATCGAAGTTGCCAGGTACGCAAAACAAAATTATATCATGGTTACAATAAAACGCATAAGCATATATTAAATTTCAGTTAATTAAAAGACGTAGATGAGGAAGAATTTTATTTTAACAAATTCGATGCGTGATACGGCCTTTTATTTAATTAATTTCACGGTAATTGACATTCTAACTTATGTGGAGAAACTTAACTCAACTTCAACACGCTATTTTGCTTATAAACAATCAGCTGGGCGGTTATCCATCATCTTCTTCTTCTTTTTAAAAAACCCACTTGCAATTTCATACTTTGCATGAATAGCTTCTGTTTAAGGATTAATTTCTAAGTAAATGAAAGTGCACTTCATGTCAATTTATTTTTCGTTTGTCCAACTAGGTTAGTTTCAATTTTGAAAATTTATGAAATCAGTTTCTAGTACCTTTAGCGCTAAAAGCAGACACTTTATTTTTTTAGATAATGTTTAATTATTTGCGGTTGAAAATTTAGACGAAATCAAAATCTCTTAGTTATTACTGTTCCCTACCGTTTCTAAGTAGTTGTAGGTCAGTCATATTTTCTGATTTCTTGAAATAAGGAAAAACTTCCTTCCAAGACCAACCTGTTGCACCATTGATGGCCCATTGATCGTAATCCATATGGCTGCCCCTAGTGTATATCGCATAATTAATTGAACTCGATCCACCTAATCCTTTACCTCTGGGGACAGATACTTGCTAGAAAGAAACATACCAATATTATTTTTAAAGATTAAAAAAATAATCACTGTTGAATCCTGAAACGTTTTAACCGTGCAAAACAGTATAATTTTAATTATTTCACTGATGAGAAAATGTAAATTACTAACGTAAATATTTTTCGAAAATTCTCTTTGGTATTTTTGTTCTTTTTGTCTTTCATTCATTTCATGCATATGGCTTAGACTTTTATGTGTACGGTTAAATAGTTCCAAAGGTACATTTCAAGTATGATATACTGAATTTTAAAATTTCTCTCAGCTACGTATAGTGCGCCATTAAAAACGGATCACCCTAAGTAACTTTTGATCTGATGATTGGATTTTCAGGATCTAGGACTCAATCTTAATGGAACGAAGAGGCGTCTTCAACTATACTAATTAATAAGTGCAGACGATATTTTAGGTTACGGAATCAGACTCAAAAAAGTATTTTCTTTGAATAAACATATCTTTTTTCAACGGGTGTGGATTTTTTTTACCCCCAAATTATAAAGGTTAGCCTCAATCTGGAAAATATGGTCCCAATAGTTTGGTCAGTATAACGCTCCTAAGTTAGGACCCCTTAATGATAATTTTACTTTTTGCGTATTTCGCTATATCTCGAGAATTTTTAACGCGAATTGAACACTTTTTGCGCACAATTATAAAATTCGTTTATCCAAAAATAATTCTAATTAAAAAATAATTTTTTGTAAATATTTATTATTTTATTTAAGAATCGTCAAAAAAATTATAAGATATAAAATTTTTTGCCTCATTTTAAAGAATGTCGGCAAAATACAGAATTTAAGCTAAATCAATCGAATAGTTCCTGAGGAATTGAGTTTAAAGTATCCGACTTGTTTGAAACAAGAGCAATTACAAGGGACCAAACTACTGGGACCATATTTACCAGAATTGGGCTACCCCCTATATTTTGGGGGTCAGAACTCCGAATCCATCAAAAAAGCTATCTTTATCCTGAGAAAGTACGTTTTTGTGTCTGATCTCATAACTTAACCTACTGACATTTCTTCAAGTAAGAAGTCGCTATTTGACTTGTGGCTTTTCTGTTTATGAGAGAGGAAATCAGTGTAATGTAGAAAAACATTCTCTCAATTTTGCATGCTTGCTAAACCGCCAGTTGGCTAAAATATCACCTGTCCTTATTATTTAGTTAATTTGAGGTCACCCCCTCTAGCCTTTAAGATTGAATCCTAGAATGTGATTATCCGATCATTAGATCAAAAGTTATTCAGGATGGTCCGTTTTTTTTGCACATTGTACATTAATATATCACAAATAAAAATAAGACAACATAACTTTTAATTTTGAGACAATATACGATTACTCTAAAATTAGCTTTATAATATTAAAGCAGTCAAATCACAATCGGTTAAAAAGATTTTGAATTGTTTGTTACAGAAATTAATAAAAATAATATTTGCGTGAGAAAGCCATCCAAAATGCATGAATGTTTTTAAAGCATTGGTTCCTAAAGTAATTGCAGATGCTCCCTGCTTCGATCACCCCTCCCTGATGGGTGAAGAAGATTTGAAGTTGGGGGTTAAGAGCTTTCCGTAAGGTCACTGAGATCATAGATTAGAAATTTTTATTAAATTTTTGTTTTTGTTTTCTTTACAAAAATAATTTACATATTTAAATCTGCATGCGATACTAGTTATCAAAGCAATTATTAACGTAGAAATTCAGTGATTTATTTAAAATAATTAACTCATTTTGAAGAGAAACCGCACTTTGCTTGCTGTTCTACTTATAATACTTTTAACATTTGAAACTATTACGAATTTATGAATACGTAAACAATGTAGGGAATATTCTTTTGTTATAAGGCTAAATATCTGAGACCGACTGAAGCTGTTAAAATTAGATATGTTGAAGACTGACATTAGTAGCAGACGATTATTCTCAAAGAACAAAATTTAAATTGCTGTTAAAGATTGATGAATTATATTTAACCAGGTTGGCAAAAAGCACAAAATTAAAAAAGGACATATTGTATTGGTGGTTCAAGTTTTTTTTTTTGAAAGAATTGGGTATAATATAAAAAAACACAACTACTTCCACTTAGTAGGAATAACATTTACCATGACGCAATGCTAAATTCTATGCCACTATCCACATAAATGCCACTATCCACATAAATCAATTATTAATCAAAAATCGAATATCAATTACTTTTCTTTATAATGCAATAAAATCTGGCGAGCAGCTATTTAAACGATCAAACACTTCGTTTGTTTATTTGTGGCTTGAAGTTAGGCTCGCAGAAAATGCCGTTCATGGGTTAAATTTAGTAGGAATAACACAACCTGTGACGTAGGCTATAGTATACCCAATTATAGTAGAACACTTTTTTTCCTTTTAGTTGGAGTTCTTTTCTTATGCTTCTTCGCACAAGGTGAGATCTTTCTTTTCGTTAAATTAAGCAATGAAATTATATATTTTTTTGTTTCACAATATTTTTTTCTGTGCTGCATTTATGTTATTTATTTAGTTGTTAAGGTTCTTTTATTTTGGTAACTACAACAAGATAGAAGAGAGAAGATAACGCCTTAGTGTATTTCTAATGGAAGACCGGGTTTGGCTAAACTTTTGCCGAAATAGCGATAATTTTGGCAATTCTTGGTGACCATTTTGGCAGCAAAATGATAGTTCCGGAAATTTCGAGTTTGAAATCGATAAAACTAATATTCATGGAGTTACACTTGAATTGTTGGAAATTTTCAGGACTTAGTCGTCAAACCTATGTAAATAAATTTGTGCCTCGTCAGAATAGTAATTGATGTGTATTTGGATAATGTGCCCACTTATTATTTTTTTTTCTACTTTTATTTTTTAGGATACAAAGATCACAAGGGCATCTCAAGCTCCGTCATTTCATGACGAATGGGTAAAGGGCCCGAATGGCCTAAGTCACCCAGGCCAAACCTCATGAGAGTAGTAGTCTGTTTGTGACTCTAGTTGTAGTCTGACCTGAATTAGATCATTGACCCGTCTAAGGTTGTAAATCCTGTATTTTGCTTTACTACGCTGTGTGCTATAAACTGCTGTATCTTCTAAAAGTTTTGACTAATAAATTTTGGACTTTTAAGGTCAAATTAATCAATGAGGTATAATCTATCAAAAAGAACCTTTGAGTTCAGTTCACAAGTTTATAGCGAATTAACACTTCAAAAATTCAGATTGATTTAAATCATTTTATTTTAAATTTTCAACAACTAAGTTGTAATATATGGTTTTTAATTCATAATCAATAATTTTCAATGTTTTTGAAAAAAATTTCATAATAATTAGCTAATAAGCAATCGAAACAAATATACATCAACATAGAAAAAAAATTATCTATATAGTGTGACGAGGGGGTATAATATATAGTGGTATATAATGGTATAATATATAGTAGGGGGTACAATATATAGTGGTAAAAATATATAGTGACGAGGGGGTGCTCGTCGGAAGTGTGGTCACCCAAAGAATGTGGACTGTTCCAATATGCTTAGCTAGAATTGGAGCCGTGGTGGCTCAGGGAATAGAGTGTTCGCTTTCCAATGAGGTGAATCGGGTTTGAATCCCAGTGATGGCTGGTTGATACGAAATCCGCATCCGGCTCACATTGACTACAGTGCTGGCTTTAAATATCCACAGTGGTAGACGGATCATATGTTAGTCTCCATCCGTCAACTGCGGGAGATTTTCGTGGTTTTCCTCTTCATTTAGCTCAAATGCTGGTTAGTTCCATCAAAAAAGTCCACAACGAAGACAAATTTCTCCCGATATTTGATTCAGGAATTTCCTTGTATTCTGGATGTGGTTAAAAATTACAAAAATTACAAGCCTGCGGCATTGAACATTGACTGTCGTAAACTCAACATTGGATTGGTTGTTCAACGACTGTTATAAAATAAAATACGCTCGGCTAATGACTGCAAGCGAATTAGTCGAGCGTTTAGTCAGTCTTCAGCCCTCTTAGTCACTGAATCAAATGAAGTTGAATATTATCCTTAGCCATGGATAAGTCGCATACCTTTAAAAAAGTGCTTTTAACTACTTGTTACGTAATTAGGTATTGACTTTTATTTTGATACATCTTAATATTGCTATCAGTGGCTGGGTGACGCAGTTGGTTTGTCATCGGCCTTCTGAGCCCAAGTCGGCGGGTTCGATTCCTGGCCAAGACACCGGATTTTCGGGATGCTGAAAATCCTCAGCGGCCATGTCGTATGATTATGCGCCATGTAAAAGATCTCTGGAGTGCCTTATTGGCTCTTGGCATTTCCGGCAAAACTAAATTCCTAGTGCACTTTAGCATCCAAATAGAGTCTCGGTGCTGCCATCTAGTGTGAGAGAAACTAGTCGTCCAAATTAACTTGGCCAACGGTATCTCACCCATTGTGGTGGTCCTGAAAGAGTGGATATCACTTCTGGAGAACACACTAGGTCTGCTCATCGGGAAGACTGATTGTGCAGCCCATTGGAAATAAAAAAGATAAAAAAATAAAAAAAAATATTGCTATCAGGTTTTTCCTTATTTCAAGAACTATGTTATAAAGTGTAATTTTATTCTCTGCATAGATTAAGATTATTAACAAACCTGATTTGGAAATCCCTGAGCTCCATTTTTTTGTGGAACTGACATGTAAGCCCAATCATTTACAGAATTTCGCAGTTCGTGAGCAGCTAAAGGCACTTCAGATGCAATTTGAGCTTCAGGTCCAGCTTCCAAGAGCAAAACTTTCACGCATTCGTCCTCAGATAACCTTGAAGCAATGACACTTCCCGCTGAGCCAGCTCCAACTGGAAGAATACCATAACTTTTTGTCTTGAATAAATAAGGCTTTAATATCCTTAACATATCCATTTAAAAATTTTTTATAAAAATCTCGATTTAATTTTGAAATTAAGATAATCTAAATTGACTTTCTTTCAGTTTTTAAACTAAAGCTTTAGTTTTCTTCAAGTTTTCTTTTAGTTTAGTTTTCTTTTAGTTTAGCTTCAGTTTTTAAACTTTTCAAAATTTATTATTCTAATCTTTAATCACCTGTTTCAGGCTGATTTTTTTGTTGTATTTTTCTTTAAATAATTTTTATTAGCTGGTCCCTGTGTCGGATATAATTGTATCAGAAGTGTTTGGTTGGATCCTATTTAAATATCTGACGTTTTCCTTCCTTAAAATATGTCCCTTTTCAAAAAGAAAAGTAAGTTTGAATAAAAAATAAGTAATTATTATTATTTTATGTAAGTACATTTTGTTATTAAGTTAATCGTAACAAAATGAACGATTGCTTAAATTTGAAAAATAATCAACTTTAATTGAAAATAAAAAATCTGCATAAATAAAGTATTTAAATAATAGTAATCTATAATAATAATAATAGTATATAAAGTATTAAATTTAGTAATATAGAACGTAGGACACAATAAGAAGTAATAAATGTGAAGTCAAATTGCCTGTTGTCACTCTTAAACGACAAACTTATATCATACAACTGTTCATATTGTTCTCTTTTTGAGACCTTTATATTTAAAAAAGAATTTAAAATAATTTTAAGATTTATATCTGGTGGCATCTTATATCCTTCTTTCATTTATTTATTTTGTTGCTTTTGACATTAAGACAAACGCGAGCTAATAAAAGATGATCTCGAGGGAGATAAGTTTTCTAGCAACGGATAAATAATTAAAACAAAAAAAAAGTAAGAAAAAAAAACCGATAAAAATGTTTAAAATTTCAATAGCTTTTGAAAAAATTTGAATTTCGAAAAAAAAAAATTGCGTTAAGTTTTTAATTGAAAATGGCCTTCTAGTAGATAAAATTTTAACTTTTTGTGAAATTCAAAGGCCATTTGATAGATCAATATAGTTTGCTTTGTTCAGATTCAACAGTTAGTAATTCGCGATGATAGAATCTTATATATAGAATCTTATGATAGAATCTTATTATCAGATACATTTTAATTTGGATATGATTCAGGGATATTTATCCCAGAAAAATGAATAAAATCGTTTAGGAAACAATGATTTATTAAGTAAATAGTATAATGAACATGGCCTTATTCCAAAATTATAAAATAAAGAAAAGAACGTTCCTAAAAAGGATCAAGAGAATCATTCTTGTTATCTGATTAAGAATTTCTGTAAATATATCAATTCAGCGGTTGATACGGGGAGACCAAAGCCCCAAATCTCCACGCCAATAATTCACTCCAAATTTCAAAGTAAGTGAATTGTTCCCAACAGACAGTTAGGAGCATGGGGAGAGATTCCTGGTTGGAAATTTACCGAATGATAGCGTAGCCAAAGAATAAAGTCGAACCCCCATAATCAAGATTAAATTTGAAAATAATTATCCGAAATATAATCGCCAGAAAGACTGTGAGAATTAGTATAACAATATAACTGAACCATTTTTGTAGTAAGAAATAAAGAATAAAAAGTTATAATTAGATTTTGTTTACGATTTAGTCGGGGCAGTGAATTAATTAGTTTACATTTGTATTGAAAAAAATAGCTATTACATTGGTTGTCAAGAAAGGAATAAAATATATATATTAACTTTTTATGAAATTTTATGAATTAAAAATTAAAAAATTGGTTTACTTTAACTAAAATTCGATTAAGAATGATTTTGAAAAAATAAGTTTGGGAAATTAAAGAGATTTTAAAAGCTAGGAAATATGTAATGCCCATTTTAGCATCACAATAGTGAAACATATATTAAAGCAAATCAAGAAAACGGGAGACAAGTGTATTAGGAAATTGTTGAAACAAATATTTGAATCATAGTAACTCTTTTACATGGTTTCAAATTCATTCAGAAATTCATGGGGTAAATAAAATTTTATTAGCACATAAAAATACTTACCAATGATGTAATCATAATTTGAATCAATATTTTTTGAAACTTCAGGTGTGTATATTCCCATTGATAGAAGAGTGGGGAATATATACTTGGATAAATACGATAGGAAATCCATTCTCAATTTTTTTCTTAACTTTTAATGTTTTTCTTTTAAACAGTTTAAGTAAACATAACTATTCTGTTTGTAGCGCGGATAAAACATATAGGTTTAGGTTACACTTCAAGATTTATTTCGTGATTATGTTTTAAGCGTTCATATTTTAGCGTGACTAGACGAACTTCGCGTTCTTTCAGTTGATGTTGTTTCTGTTAAGGACGTATTTTATGTGATAGAATCATGTTTTTAATGCTTAAAGTATGTGATAAGGTAATAAATTTAAAATCATGACGTAGTATCACCTTCTGATTCTGAAAAGATAATCTTTCAAAGAAATGTCAAAATTATATTATGAATCTTCCAATTATTTTCCGCAGGTGTTGCAAAGTAAATAATAAAATTTTAGACTGCATTAGTTGATAGCAAACATTGTTTATAATTGTGTGTTTTAAAATTATTTCGTAATTTCAAGATTTGCGTAAAAATTAACTTCGCATATCTACTTAAAAATTGCCTGCTTAGCATTCCAAAAACTTCAAACCAACTTAATATTAAAACATTATACAATCTTAAACGTTTCAAAGTTCTGCACAAAATTGTATTGCAAATTAATTTCTTCGCATTTCTGTCCCATTGAATAGTTTGACTAAAAGCTGGGAAAAAACCTGAAACTGGTACTCATGGGATTTTTTTAGATGTTCTTGAATACTCAATAATTTGATCCTTTTCCACCTCTGTTTATCGTAAAAATTTGATCCCCCCCCTCCCTGCATTTCATACTTTCAATTTATTTGCACTTAACTTTAGTTCTGACTCTTCTTCTTTAAACTCCGAACTTAACTTCCTCCGCTCGTGGATTTAACCCTTCTATAGTTGATACAGCTCTTGCTAAACTTACTACTATATTCAATCGCCCCTCTTCATCTAAACCTTAGAGAGAACTTGTTACTTTACAGATTTTTTCTTCCGTTTGTCAGAAAATTGCTAATATCCTCTCTCGTTTTGGTTTTGAAGTCACGTTTAGGAACGTTAACAAAATCAAATTTAAATCTCTTAAACATCCTTGGGGCACTTACTACATTCCTTGTCCGTGCGAAATTTTTACATTGGACGAACCAGATGCGCTTTAAAATTTAGATTTAAGGTACGCGATAAATATGTCCGTCATCAAGAATACGTGGAATCATTAATTGCTGCACATAGTTGGAATCTTGGATATGAATTTAATTTCGACAAGGCCGAAATTATTTCCACCCCAGTCACACCAACTCCTCCTGATGTCCTGGAACCTTGTTTTATTCATATGAATGCTGATTTTCCTGTTAACGACATTAGTTTCTCACAACCTTTCTGTAGCGCGTGGAAATGCATTTTATCTTTATCTTCTTCAAACTCTGAACTTAACTTCTTCCGCTAGTGGATTTAACCCTACTATAGTTGATTCAGCTCTTGCTAAACTCACTGTAGCTAAACGTGCCTCTTTATCTAAACCTTACAGAGAAGTTGTCACTTTAACTTTTTTTTTCTTCCGTTTGTTTTAAAATTGCTAATATCCTCACTCGTTTTGGTTTTGAAGTTATTTTTTCATTTTTATTCCTGTTGACAAAATCAAATTTATATCTCTTTAAGATCCTATTAGCTTTGATAACCACTGGAGCATTTACTACATTCCTTGCCAGTGTGACCTTGGTACATGGGGCGAACTAGGCGCTTTTAAAATGTAGACTTAAGGAACACGACAGATATATCCATTATCAAGGATACGTGAAATCATCAATTGCTGCACATGGTTGGATTCTTGGACATAAATTTAATTTCTACAATGCCAAAATTATCACCCCAGTCACATCAGCTCATCTTGATATCCTGGAATCTTGTCTTATTCATTTGAATGCTGATTGTCCTGTTAACGACATTAATTTCTCACCTTTCCATAGCGCATGGAAATGCATTTTACCCTCATTCCCCCCTCTTTGTCACTTGTTTTTCTTGCTCCTTTTTTCTTCGTTTTTCTCTCTCGGTTACAGTGGTTTCCTTGGAGTTTGGTTTCTTACCTTTATCTTTCCATTTCTTGTTGAAAACTTCTCGTTTTATATTTCAAATCACTTTTGTTTCTTCTCATTCCAGTCCTGAAAATGGGCGTCTGTTTTTTTAGCGCTTTCAACGTAACTGTTATTTCCTATTTATAAGCTTTTGAAGCGAATGAAATTTTTAATCAAGTAATGGGACTCATAGGGTTTAGAAAAAGTAGTAAAATTGTCTTTTGTCAATGAAAGCCTCTGTCTTTACAGCTACGTTCTCACTAACAAGGGAAACTAGGGAAGTGTGACTCGCCAATTTTGAAATAAACTAGTGGGATGTATGCCTTATGAGGAATAATTTTAGGGGGCGACATTCGTTTCGGCCCATAGAAGGTCCTGTGAGAGATAAAAAATAATTCAATATATAGAAAAATCGGTATTTTATTACTTCAATGCAGACTATTAGTAATTGTAATTGTCTCACACTCCAATTAATTTGTAATTAATTGGATAATTAATTAATTTGCTAATTAATAAACTAATTAATATTCGTTTCGGCCCATAGAAGGTCTTGTGAGAGATAAAAAATAATTAAATACGCAGAAAAATCAGTATTTTATTACTTCAATGCAGACTACTAGTTATTGTAATTGTATCATAATCCAATTAATTTGTAATTAATTGGATAATTAATTAATTTGCTAATTAATAAATCAATCAGAAAATTATTTAATAATTACCACAAAAACCATTGGAGTATGAGAGAGACAATTACAATAACTAATAGTCTGCATTGAAGTAATAAAATACCGATTTTTCTATATATTGAACTATTTTTTATCTCTCACAGGACCTTCTATGGGCCGAAACGAATGTTGCCCCCTAAAATTATTCCTCATAAGGCATACATCCCACTAGTTTATTTCAATATTGGCGAGTCACACTTCCGTAGTTTCCAAGTTGCATTGCAGTACAGTAAAAGTATGAAAAATTTGAAATTTCTTTTTGTTATACTTTTCCATTTGTTAATAAATCCGGCATTGTTTGATGAAAATCTTCAACGAAATGTGTAAAGAAATTTTTTTTTAATAAAAGCCTTTCAGTGCTATAAAATTAGCAGACAATTCGGAACATGAACGCTGGACAGTGAAACGGATGAGGAGATCACTGCTCTATTAAACTACTCTCCGATACAATTATCCATACCATCATTTGGAAAACCTGTAATCACCCCCCTTAATATACATGCGTGTCAAAAATGAAGTTAAAAACTGAAAGATTTTGAATCGAAAATTAATGTTTTAGCTAGGGAAAAGTAAAATGTATTATCAAATTCCTATTAATCTCTATTGATGATGGAGAGAGTAAACCCCCCAAAACCGGCACGAATGATAAAAAGGTGTTTGATGGTGTTTTTAACAATTACTTTTCACATCCTCTCAGAATTGTTAAACTATTTATAATAATGTTAGTTACAGAACGCTCTGCAGAGCTACAAAGTTACATGACAAAACGATAATTAAAGTATTTAATTGATGATGTAAAGTGCATACAAAAAATTACTGGAACTTATTCATTATCGAATCAGGAAACTAAATTTTGTTGAGAATTAAAACAAGCATAATTTATTCTAAAACGTGTTTGTAAATATGACTTACGAAGAAAAAATCAGCATAAACACAGAGACACGCATAGCACAAATTTTTTTTTTTTTTTGCGTGTTAGGTGTGCATTTTGAGCATTGAATTTCGTTCCTTTGTCATAAAAATAGCTTAAAAGCGAAAATAAGGAAAAAAAAGTAAGGTTCTTACTCAATAGTTGTAGGTGATATTGTTTTTATTTTTATGTTACATGCTCGAAACCACTAAAGAAATTTGATTTGAAAGGAAAAAAATACCTATAAATATTGCATTAAAAAACCAGAAGTCATAGATTTTAACGGTAAAACATAACTTGTACCAAAGTTGCTCGGTAAAAGTCCAAAGTAAGCTTCAACATGATACTATTTCGGCACTTAACGAAATTTTTGCTACAAAATCTAGGAGTTACTACGCAACTTTATTAAATCTTAGGTTTATTGGTAAAAAAAATAGGATTTACCAGGGCTCGAAAAACTGCCCGTCCGCCCGTCCTCGGCGGTCAAAAATTCCCCGCGGACAACGAATTTCTCGAATCCGACGTCCGCGCGGACGGCCATTTTCCCGTTAATATTCGTGAAGAGTCTAGCGCCTTAAATGATCCTGAAATGGAATTGATGCTTTCTCTGTCTGGGAGTACTGCAGCTGTTGAAAGGGGTTTTTCGGCAATGAACTTACAAAGAAACACATTGCGCACTGGTCTTAAACAAGAAGCGTTAAACGCAATTATGAACATCTACCTAAATGGAAAACTCCTTTCAGATTTCTGTGCAGAAACCTCTGTAAATCATTGGCCTGATTGTGGAATAGGCAAACGTAATATTTGGGATTCATTTAAAAAACGCAGTACCCTCGGATAAATTGACATTCCAGAAAACTTGACCTTTATCATTTAAATTATTTCATAAAAGAAATAAATTATTTCATAAAAGAAATAAATCACTTCATAAAAGAAATAAATTATTTCATAAAGGAAATACTAGGTCACTATTAGTAACCTAGTATTTCTTTTATTAATGTACAATGTAATCCCAGTAACTACTAATTCATTGTGCAATTTATATAAAGGTTTGTAATAAATAAGAGAAAAATCATATTTTTAATTATTTAGAAGATACGGGTTAGTTTCAAAGGAGGACGGGTACATTGTTGGACAAGCCGTCCTCGGGGATGGGTAAAATTTCTGAGTTCTTTCGAGCCCTGGGATTTACCCTACTTCTGGCTTTTACAGTAACATAAATTCCTTAAAAGAGATGATACACTACATTTCCTGAAGTTATAATAAATTATAAAGAAAAAAAAAAGGCCACGATCTTTTCTTTCAGCCTGTTTTGATGAAATTCAAAGCAAACTTGCCGTATGCGTTAATCCAGGGAAGTCATATTTCATGACATTCAGTATTATCAGAATACAATTTGTGTTTAAATCTATAATGATAAAATTAAGAGATTATACGTGTGTCTGTTTCTCCTATAACTCCGGAATCACTTCTGCTAGCGTCTTAGTCACTGCCTCCTATCTTAAGAAATCGTACAAAAAGTTTGCATATATCATTCAGAAGATACGCATAAAATGGAATTTCCTCAATAGTTTAGAAAAAGCGCCATTAATCGACATGAAACTGCAGAGAATTATGATTTTTTTTAAAAATATTTTAAA